TATATATATATATATATATATACACACATACATACATACATACATACATATATAAATACACACACACATTTTGCAATTTTACTTTCATCTACAGGTTTAATCTGTGCTACTACAACATATGATTTCATTACTTTATTTAACAATATGTGTTCTTAATTAATTTTCTTTTCTGGGCTTGTTACTACAAGGGAGGGAGGACACCTTTTAAAGGGCAAAAAAAAAATTTTTTTTTTTTTTTTAACGACCATTATTTTACTACATAAATATGTTCAGGTTTCCATGCTCGGTTTAAACAAAATTCAAAAGCTGTAGCATCTGTGTTCTTCACACGCCTCTGTTTTTATTCACAGTTAACCTCCAGTATCCTGGTGAGCGCAGGGAGATCAAACCTACAGAGCTTCAGATGTCAAAACACCTCCTCCACCTTCCCCGCCAGTGGAATTTAACAGGTTGTATATGAATTGTAGATAGTCAGCTATTCAAATGATATTTCTGGATGTGGACTACATGTTCTGTAATGACTGTAAATGTTTTCACTGTGATCATTGTATCTATAAATTGCTAATGTTTGAAAAATGTTCCAACAGACTGACACGCTAATGAATTACATTCCCCCAAGTTGATAGCTTATAACCTGGGAACGATGCCATAATCATCATAATCCTAAATCGATTCAGAAGCTACAGCAGATGATTCATCGTGTGTAAACAGCGATGTTTACATGAATAAACAGCAAAGACAAGATTTTGATGGGCACGCCAGTGTAAACATGTTTTAACAAAAGGAAAGAATGTCTCAAAATGTAAAAGTTACAACTAAGGCGTTACCACTTACCATCGGAGCACCGCGGTGTCCGACGAGGGCCGGTTTTGGGGGAAGATTATTGGTAATGCATGGAGAGCAGATTGCAAGAGGACAGAGGAACACAGCAGCAGACACTACCAGGAAGGTCATCATTATAAAAACCTTACAAGCTACAAAGACATACAGAAAAATATTCAGACACAAAGACTGACATAATTTGGCATTATTAAAGGCATCACTGGTGCTAACTTTCACATTTACATCGACTGGTAACATTAATCAAAGGTATAAAGTACACACTAAAATACAGGTAACATACAAATTCTATTGATTTGAATTTAAATCAATTTTTAATGTCCATGCATTTATCTGTTTGGTGAATAGCAATGTAATAAGCAATATAATGTGCAGTCAGAAGCTGTTTTGGAGACACTGACCAGCTGTTTTTGCTCTATGATAACTCTGGAACACCAGCCAGCTGATCAAGGTCAAAGCCACCACAGCACCCAGCTGCAGGAAAGGAGCAGTGGCCTACGGGAAACCAAAGAGGGGATTTTAATACACTGCAGTACAACAATAGTGGTGTAACTAGAGATATGGACACCTGAGTGACAGTCTTGTGATAAATACAGTATACTATAACATCATGCTGAGGGATATGCATGCTATTAGTGTAAAATATCTCACTGCCATTTAGAATAGATAAGGTAACAGGAAATACAATGAGAACCAGCTGCAAAGACATAAAGGACAATGTACCATTACTGAAATGCTAAATGGTTGAAGGCTTCTTACCTGAAATGACATATAGACAGTTTTCCACTCCTCTTCCCATTTTATACAAAATCCAGCTGTGCCTAAAGCAACAGTAAGGAGACCTAAAAACAGAAACACCTGAACAGAGAACAGAGAATCATTAATGTACTGGGATCATTCATTAACATCCTGTGAACTTCCTTCATGCACTATGACCAACAGTGATATAGATTGTTACCCAAGTTTTAAAGATAACTAATACGAGATTGCTTTCTCAACTATGAGCACTGAGGTCTTTTTTAAAGCTAATTTTATAGTCAGCTTTTATGTATAATAATTGATACATTTACATAACATTTACCTTAAGTAAATTTACAAATAAATTTATTAGGGGCAAAATGGTTTTCACTGTGGTGAAAATGAGTTGTGTTAAAAAATATTAAAACTTGTTTTACTCTTTTTGCATTATAGTTTTAAAACAATTGTTTATATAATATTTTCATAAATGACTTTAAGATGGACAGCCTGTGTCTGGGACAAGGGTACATATATATATATATATATAATAATAATGCACCGAAGGCATTTAAAAAGTAGCAAAAATAATGAAAAAAATTATTTAATTAAAAAAAGTCTTAATGCAACCTTCTAACAACAAAAAGTACAAGTTGAAAAGGTAAAGAGTACCTTATGCAGCCAGTGTAAATTCAAGGGCTCTCTGATTACTAAATGCAGCAATCCAAATACCTGAAATAAAAAAAAAAGAATGTTCTCATTGGTGCAACCATTGTTTACGAATGCTACCAGCTGAGCAATCTGGATCACATTATGCCCTTCAATGTTTCCATTCTCTCTTCTTACCAGCAGAAAGAGGAAGTATGTGGCCAGCACAGCAGAAACGACCATCACTATCATGTACCAGTTCACCCATTTTTTTAAGGTTTTGAAGGCAAGCCTGCAAAGGAAAATGAAACGGCAGAATGACAACCAGGTATTACATGTAAATTTGGAAACACTGGGCCAATGGATTTACAATGTGGTCATATAATCAGCACGTGTGTAATTGTGTTTATGTGCTCACCAGTTTACATCATCGTGGTCGTTGAAGGCAATAAAACAAATGTACATCCAACTCAGGGCAAGTATGGACACAAAAGACAGAAAGGAGAACCACCAGCAAGCCCTCTATATACAAACAAAGCAAGAATGCACACTTCAATCATCTCTTTTCTTTTTCAGTATGCTCTTCTCTTTGTCCTATTTACTGCCACTAACAAATGTATCAGCACTAAAAAAGAAGAATATGTTTATTTAAAACTTTCCCTCAATGCTCCACCTGTGTGCGTGTGATGATTTAAAGTCATAGGTTAGCCACAAATGAGAGCCTGGGGTGCACTGGCGCACAGCCATCGTCTTCTCACGTTGAGTTTCGCCTACTGATCCGAATATTCAAAATCGGGGCCAATCTCTAAAGCGAGTGGTTATTTATTATGAAAGCTGATTATTACGAGTCCATCCCACACAGGGTTTTCGAAATCTCTGAATGCAGCGGTAATTGTTTCTGACACAAATCAAAAGAATTGAGAGCCTTGCTTTTGTATCCAGGCTACTAATTATCATACTTTTCTGCCTGTCATGATCATCAGTCTTCACAGCTTTGTACTCACTTAAAAGGAAAGAGCATTTACATGAGAATTGCTCATGCATTCAATGACAACCATTTTCTTTTATTCTATTCTACATTTATTAGACATGGTAAACTATTCCGCCTCTCTCAACTGATTGCGTCAAGTGAAAACGGTCTGCAAATTCTAAGAGATAATGGGTGCATCATTGATGTGCAACTTCATTTTGCAATGCAAAGTGTAAAGAAAAAAAATCTCACATTTTGTCTTCTGTTTTGACTGTTCCATTGACAACTGTAGATTCCTCTGAGGCAGGTTCGGCCGATCGAGAACATGGTGTTCTTTTCCACATCTAATGATTCCAGCTGAATGTATATGGATGAATAGGGGGTCTTGTCCGGGATGTAGTGAGGTTAACTCATTTATACTGGTGCAGGTGTTTGATACGGAATGACTCACTGCTTCACACCTGAAACCGAGTAGGAGGGAAGAGAATACAAGTGTGGTGGTTATGCAAGGAAACCTGTTCTTTAACTCAAAACTGAACTGAGCTCACAATGCCTGGCTTAGTTAGTTAAAAGTCATTGAATAAGGGTGAGAGAGAAAAATATAGGCTCCAGTCACATGACACAGCAGGTATGGAAAGGTTAAATGTAATTATGTAGGAGTGGCAATGCTTTCAAAAGCCCTGAAGCAGAAAACTATAAAACGACCTGTGGGAAAGATTTCATATCAATCACTCAATTCTAATAAAAGGATGGAATGTTCTTCCCAACTTAAGTTAACTGCTACAGCTGTATCAGTAAATATTAAATATGTATTAAAATATAACCTGTTTTAACCATACCCTATAATCAAAAGTTGCCTGATGCTGGAACACAGTAATTTGAGTGTCCTACTGAAAATTATATGAACAACTGACATGAGATATTAAGGATTATTCGGAGCAAGTAAAAAGGCCTTGCCCCTTGTTTTGACAGGTTGTGCATAACATGAAATATAATCTTCAATGTTATGAAGATGTTCTTCCTGTGGAGGCATTTTTTGTTTTCCAGGTTCAGTGGATGTCAAAACTCATGATCAGATAAACATGTCTAAGCAATAATTGTTTTAAGTGCTAAAGGCAAGTCTGTAAGGAGGTGGTTAGCACAACAGGAAGGGAGAATCGTATCAGAACCAAAATATAACAAACACTTGTATGTGCTCGTGTACAAATATTTTCACATTTGTAGAAAAAAAAAAAAAAAAACCTGCACAGTGCCAGTCGAAACTTTGGATAAAGTCTGCTGAATGTTCATCCTGATCTTAAAAGACTCTTTTTAATCTAAATGAATATAGGCTACATTAATTAATTATAACAATTATGTTTAGGGTCAGATCATTTTTTTAATACTTTTATTCAGCAAGAATCCATTAAATTAACCAAAAGTGACAGTAAAGACATTTACAATGTTACATAAGAATTCGATTTAAATAAATGCTGGATTTTCTATTCAAAGGAGTACTAAAAAAGGATTATGGTTTCCACCAAAATATTAAACTGCACAACTGTTGTCAACATTGATAATAATAAGAAGAAGAAATGTTACTTGAGCACCAAATCAGCATATTGTGATTTCTGAAGGACCATGTGACACTGAAGACTGGAGTAACGACTGCTGAAAATTTAGCTTTGCATCACCAGAATAAATTCCTTTTACAATAAATTAAATTTGTGCAGATAATTCTGATGTGGCAGAATAATATTTCACAATATTACCGTCTTACTGTATTTCTGATCAAATAAATGCAGCTTTGCTAAGCAACAATGTGTCCAATAGTGCTTCTCAAACATCTACAAATCCCCAATAATAACAAAATTAATACAATTTCTTTGTTTTGTAAAAGGAAAGCTGACAATACCACTTCTTGCATCTTGTCACAAGATCTTGATTTGTCAAATCTTCACTTGGCAAACTCAACGCAATTATCATAAATTCATACATATCATAAAAGTATCAAAGGTTAGTTTTCAAGATATTCACTCTTCAATGTGGTATACTGTCTGTCAGCCAGGTAAACACCACGGTTTAAAAGTCAGATTATAAAAAAGCCTGTGCTGGTGGTGGAGGGTGATGTTATGTCAGCCATAACTAAACATTCTCAATGCAAGTACTTGGGAACCGTCAGATTTGACTCACTGATAAACATGGCAATGTATCACTGTATGTGGGTCAGTGCAATTCCTGATAAAAAGCCTACATTAGAGAATAAACCATATATTCCAGTATGAAGGATACACACCTATCTTAGTAAAAGCATGACAAGCAGTCTATTTGAAATTTGAATGTACCATCATACATTGTAACCATTGCTGTGTGCAGTTTCTTTAATGAACATTTAGCATTTTTGCCAACAGCGACACGGTTCACAAAAACCCAGGGCAAAACGTGTTCTTCAGACTTGACAAAGAAGAAAGGAAACTTGTCAAGTGTTTAGTGGATGTTCTGGATCTGCCGACAGGTATGGCAGCACATTTAAGAAGTCACTTAACTCCCCATTTCAGGTCAGACAACAAGTACTTTGTCAACTGTAATTCGTGATTAAATGACCCAAGTCATCATCCTTATTCAACAGGTTGTCCAAAACTATAAAAATCATCCTGCATTGGACTAATTCAAGCATTTTCTCAGCATCACACCACACTTCTCAGAGCAGACAACAGCTCATTTGTCATGTTTATGACCTGAGTTTGGATATGTTTCAAAGGGTCTTTTCTTTTCCGTATGAACCAACCAAAGGGTCTTGCAAAAACTTTTACTTTCTAAACCATCTACACCAACATTTCACAGATTTTCTCTTGGGTGCATGTTCATTTATTAGGGACCAATAAAATACATTTATAAATGCACTTATAAAATACGTACATTAAACTATATTTGAAACAAGTAGAACTGCTGAGCCAAACAAAGAGTGTTACAGAGGAGTTGGCATCCAGATTCTGCAGAAGAAGCTGTTTTTTATCTCAAAAACTGAGCCATAATATTAAAAAAAAATTGCTCTACTTTAACAAGGTCAACAGACATGAGTGATACAGCCTGTACATTTTTTTAAACTTAACTATCAAATGCCAGTAGATAATTTTGTTTAAAAAAAATTATATCTGGAAATGTTTTTTTAATGAATGTGTGATATTTCTATTAAAATGCTTTGTAATAGGAGCACAAAAAAGAAAAACATTTAAGTAGGCAGCCTGAAGGCACAACACAAATGTTTTTACCCCTGTGCAGACAGGCATAACTATACTTTGTATCCCAGGGTCGAAAGAAAGAAAGACATTGTGAACTTAGTAAAACACAGAAGCACATCAATAGCATTAAAAGCAAATCCACTCCATCATCAGGCTTTCACTGGATGTGCTCATATATTAAAGGGGTCATATGATGCTGCTAAAAAAGAACATTATTTTGTGTATTTGGTGTAATGAAATGTGTTTATGCGGTTTAAAGTTAAAAAAACACATTATTTTCCACATACTGTACATTATTGTTTCTCCTCTATGCCCCGCCTTTTTGAAACGCGTCGATTTTTAAAAATGAAATCGCATCATATGACCCCTTTAAAGAAAAACTCTGACTGATGAAAAGTGGCACAAGAACAAACATCACACTGTTGATAACTGTACAACACCACCAGTGTAGACACCTCGTTTATTGAAGCGTTTCAGAATAAGCGTAAGAATTTTTTTATTTCAAGAAATGTTCATTGTTCAAATTAAAGTATTAAAGAAAAAAAGAAAGGAAAAGAAAAGCAGCCTATGCAAAATTGTATGTAAAACCTGCACATAAATCAAACGGCCAAGTGAAGGCACATGTTATTGAAAACAGTGCATGTGACTTGTCTGTTGTGAAATAAAAGAATTAACCAGTCGAAGATAATTTTCATGAAACCCTGAATTTCACTTTCTTCATTAAACTTGAACTACAGACTTCAGACTGCTGTGATACAAAAGCATGTGCCCATTTTCTTAGAACATACAATATTACAAACTAAATACACTAGCTCTGCCTTATAAGATAATCTACTTGTTGATGTCACACTTTCTTTATTTAAGCATTTAAGTACCATCGTATTGACTGCGAGAGCTTTCAACCCATTCTAAAACAATTCACAACCTCAGGTCTTGATCTGCAGTTCAGTGACATCATGGGACATTTACATGTCTTTTTTTTAACCCAAGGGCATTAAAACATTATTAAGGTTACATTTAGTTTAACACAACGACCTCACAGACACATTTCATCATTTGCAACAGCCTACTTCCAATTTTTTAATCATTTCCAAATCCAAGTAAACGTTTAACCGAATCGTTTTTCCCCTTAAACACGGTTTAAACTCTTGATAACCCATGATTTGCAAAAATTCAAAACTTTTGTTTTTGCAAATATGTGCATTTTGTTAATGGTAGCATGGTTTACTTAAATCGTAGTTTTTTCCTATAAGGATGCTATAAGCACCTGTAATGACTAACACACACCTGACGATATTCAGCTCGCACGCCATTCAGTAATATTAGATCAGAACAGATCAAGTCCGAGATAGCAAACTGATTTTAAATATGTACGTTGTTGCCTTACCTTGCTTAAAAAAGTACATTTGATAGTGTAATCCCAGTCAGACTCTCAAACTTCAGCACTCCTCGGCAGTCTGTGCACTCGAACTCATGCTGAGACATAAATCCCGTGGACTGAGTATTAATGAGGCGCTAACAATGAATGAGCTTCACATACCTTGCAGCTTTGTATGGACCAGCACCAGTGCAGTTCCCATCGTCTTCTGCAGATGGCGCTCAAAGAGCTACATTCAAAATTGGGAACCTTAAAAGTGTAACCATTAAATCTGTTAAAAGCATGAAATGCTGCCTGATACATAAATTAATATTCTCCTATAATATAATACAGTGACTGTAAATGTATTATATCTGGCCTACACACAAACCGCTGTGATTGGTTCATCAACATCAGCGCTGCGAAAAGTAACGTGTAAAGTCATCACGACATTGTAAGCCCGAACCAGAGCGCCTGGTATATATATATATATATATATATTTTTTTTTTTTTTTTTTTTTTTTTTTTTAAA